CCCTGCCGCACTGTATACTCTTTTAAACCGAAATATGTCATTTGTGGCGTATACCATTACACACGGGAAACTAAGCCACGTTCCCGCGCTGTCAATTAAAGACATGGGCAGATGCAATACTGCTTACAGGTTACACTTGGCACTGCCTGGGATCGGACCAAACTACCACAGCTTGCAATGTCTAGATCTTGAGACAACAATGTATTGTGCTGGCTCTCATGTAAAACAAATATAAGAAATCATTTGATTTCACGTTTCCTATTCACAACTTAATAGGAAAGTATTTCATTTCATCAGATCTATTTCTAAATTCCAATTCTTTTTGTAAAGAAAATAATCAAATTCTTAAAAATATAGTTAGATTTGTAAAGGTTATACGATTGTTTTTTATGTAACATCGATGCATTTTAATTCATTTTTTTTTGGGGGGGGGGGGGGGGGTTGGCGGGGGGGTTGCTGTACCTGTTTCTCAGTTTTGTATTGAAAGGTGTTAACCGCTTGTGTGCCTTTTGTACAATTCCTGAGTGGAACGTGGCAGAAACAATTTAAATTAATTAATATTAGTAGTTATTTACAACTAATGACTCTCGTTCGCTATCTCCAGTTAAAGTCACACGTTAGCAACACAAGTGAAACATCGGATTTGCTTCTGTGTTCGAATAATTTACATTTCAATACTATAATTAGTTGGTATGGACAGGACCGGATCCAAACCAAATGATCTGTTAATTGTTCAGTTATAAAGAATATTCTTCAAACGATTGTAGAAAGTAATTATCACTAGAAAAAACAAACACTGGTATCAGCATCTGTTTTGTAGAATGCTGAATCGCAATAGCTACACAGTTATTGTTTGCATTTCCAGTAATATTTTTCTCATCCATCATGGCGACCCGTCTATCCCCTGTCACTGGGGGATTGTAGCGCTACAGATAATCAGGAATGCAGAATATGCAGAGGATGGCCACGGGTCAGTCAATTATCCTAGGGGTAAGCTTACATTTAGGGGTAAAAAGGTTAGCAAAATGAAATGACATAGACCGCGATTAACTAAAATAGAATAGCTGAAATGAAGTCAAAATTTCGTCACAATTATGATATGGTTTATGTTTTTAATGGATAAGAAATTGTATGTAGAGGTATAGGTTGTTATAGTTGTTTTGTTTCCAATACTATTATATTTTTTAACCTACTCATTCTTTACTTATACATCTCTCGCCACTTGGATGTGTGCATATTGATACGATTATCGTCACTTTTACACGTGCGACAACCAAGTACAACTTTTCATGCTAATAGTAATCCAGCTATTTATGTATACAATGTATTCATTTCAATGCATACTTATGCTTCACTAGTTGTATGGGTGTTATGATTTTTATTCCAAACATGACAATGTCAATTGCTAAATGATTAGTTTGTAATTTATTGCGTTAAGTTCATGCTTAACCTAGTAGGTGATTATCCTACTATAGTAATCACACATCCAACTATGCAAATAACTGATACAGCCTTAGCAATATTACCCTTGTTTTCATGTATGCATAATGCACACAAAAGCCTTTCACTGTCGCATTTCTTCATGTGACCGTGTCTAGCATAAGCATTTGAAATACGATTGATTTGAACTTATAAAAACAATTTGCTGCAGCCAAATGAACTGTATATGAACAGAAGACATTTTCAGGGGCCTAATTGCCAAAGGCAAAACAATTTCCTGTCCCTACAAAACTTTACAGCCTCTGCCCCTTTCACCATTACAGAAGCAAATAATGAAATAAATGGACCAGATGAAAATCCCCCAGGACAATACTTTTCGTGTCCACTTGCTAACTACTGAATTAAACACCGCATGATGCAACTAGTGAATCGATCGTTTTTCTATTGATATGTTTTTTGTGTTCAAATACCTGTGTAGATCATTTGGAACGTTTGTTGTTTCCCTTTCCTGATGAAGGTATAAATTTGCATAATCAATCTGCATTAACCCCAGGGATTATAAATAATAATGCTATTTCATACAAAAATTTAATTGTGTTTTGATGTGTAGAATACCTTTTCTTGTTTCATTGTAATTATAAATTCATCATCATGTGCTACATATTATCCATTTTTCAGGTCACTTTTCATTTTGCACAGATTAATAATATCATTTTTGATTTGTGGACGACAGCCATAAGTTAGGATATATATTTTGTTTAGATGCAAATCAACTTTCAACGACATTCTACAGGTGAATTATAATCCTACGTTTTGCAATATTAATCACAAATAAAATCATAATGTTAATATTACTTTGTTCCTTGCAATGTATTTCTTGTGATTTTGTACAGGCAATACAGGCGATTTATACTTAATATTAATATCTTATTTCACACCCGTTCAAGCCACCATCACCTTATGCAAGATGAGATGTAACAGCTACTATTTGGCTGTGCTAATTTGATGGGTATTAAATGCAAAAACAACCTTTTTTCAGCTGCCCATTTCACTGCTTGAAACAACACATCTATACCCACTCTTGACATCTAAGACATGTCAGGGTAATTTAAGAAAAGGAATCTGTTTGATGAAACAACCATGCGAAATATGTTTTCTCTTGTTGCAGTGACATCCCGGACGTATATATGTTTATAAAGCAGAGTCAATCTCGACGCTGACTTAAGACGTATTCACAGACAACTTGCTTTCAAAAGGAGCAAGTTTTATTGAAATTTCAATTTTGTGGAAAATGTTTCGACTAAACGGAAATGAAACATGCTTTTAGTAAACCAAAACCTAACACATCAAAGCAGTTCAAACGAACAAATCAACATAACTCAACCATGTTGCAAAAATCCAATTTTCTCAAAAGTAAATTGAGCATAATTTTGAACATTAAAAAATTCATTTTAGACAGTCTGCGGTCCGCCTACCGAGGAACTTTTTCATTAATTCTTATTTTAACGATTTTATCCATCCTTATAACAGGCTTACAAGTTCTACTGGTCCTCCAGAGCGAGCAAAATGCGGCTATATATAATGTCAACCGCTCACTATAATTTTTGTCCACATGATGGTTCTTCTATGTTAGAGAAGCAATACAGGCGAATAATTCGATTAGTTATTTCCCACCAGTTAGGAGATGGTCTTGTTGTACACTTGATGGATATATTCATATGATAGAATGACGGGCGTTTTGTAGAAAATGTCATATACGGTGTTATAGTTCGCACGATTTGAATTCATAATCTAGAGCTTTGATCACGACTATGTTCTATGCGCGGCTACTCGCCTTTGAAGGAGTTAAAGTGGAATTATTTTTCTGCGCGGATTACTATTTACTGTTACAGCCCGCGTAATAATCTATCGTTCAATTTATCATGTATCAATCTGGACAGAAGCTGTCAGAGCTGATGTGTGATAAATCCTGACATTTACAACCTTAAGACAGTCTCGTGTCATCCAGGAGGCTACCGAAATGTCTAAAATAGACCCTGAATTAGGGTCCAGTCAGTCCTCAGATACCTAAAACCCGCAATGTCTTCGGTTTTAATTCAATTGTTCCAATTTCAATTAACTTAGATAACATGTAATGCTTGATTGCAAAAGTTATCGAATTTCTTAAGGGAAGTGTCGATTGAGTCGCCCAGCGTTGCACGGAAAAAGATAAGTAGCCAACACATCAGTGTAGAACTTCATAAACACCACGCATGTAAAAAGAATGACTGATAGAAACATATAACAGGTTCTGCAAACATTTTAATTGAGACGAAATAACAAAGATATCTTATCAGCTACAATGATATAGGATTCCTATTCTTGTTTCGTCCTTCCACACCAGAACACGTGTGGACATTTCAACAACGAAACTTGTAGCTTATTCCAAACCAAATACATAATGGTTAGTACTATGTGAAATTGTATAACAGGCATATATATTTATACAAATGTATACAACATGTCCATAAATATATAAAAACATACAAATGTGTATGAATATATACCTATACTTATCAACAGTTAACAGATTGAATCTGTTTATTTTTTAAAAAAAAGGAATAATTATAAAAAAAATACAAAGGGTGATACCATTTTATTATCGAAATCACATAAACGTGAGCTCGAAATGAATAGTTATATCTGCCTTACGGGATTATTTTATTCATATAAGCGTATATACCATTGGTTTAAATTGCATGGACTCCAATAAATGTTTCTTTAATTTGAAAGAACATGAATTGACAGTAGTATAACATACGTGTAGAATTGATCAAAATGAAAATAAAAAGTTATTGAACTCGGACACTTTGAAAGGTTTTTAAAGTATTCATTCTGTCAGTTTTAATAAATTCAGACAAAATACAGTGTCAATGATCAATGATAAAATCATGATATTTTTGTATCGAGTTTATATACAATATTACCTAATGAAATATATGAAGAGATTACGTATAAATATGCAAACTAACAATACCTTTCCCTTGGGATCTTTCTTTAATAAAGTGTCATGGGTAATATTCTGCGGCTGGCTCGATGCTGTTTTGGTATAGATTATCAGTGAGGGCGGATGAAATAATTAATGATAACCTCAAAATACGCTGCAAATTACGATTTGATCTTCCGACTTTATGAAAGTAAATCCCCTTACACAAGTTTGGCTGACTGTGAATAGAGCGGTGGAGTTTTGATCTCCGATTCCATTGAATTGGAACACCAATGCAAAAGTTTGATGAAAGCAACAGTAAATTTTCCAAAGTGTCCTTACGCAAGTCAGACAGACTGCGAATGTGAGCATTCTAAAGGCTATTGTATACGACTAAAATATTTGTCAGGTCCGAGGTTATTTATGTGAAATTTATTACCAGGATACAAAATTAATGCATTTTTCATCACGGCTTAATTCAGAATAATCGGCAGTGGATTGTATTCTTTAGTTGTATTTGGTTTCTCTCTTTTCAGGTTGAATTCTATTCTTCAGAGTATAGAAGCTGACAGGTGATTGGTGCATAATTAGTCACATGACCCATCGACAGGTCGTCTGCTGTTCCGGCGATGATTTGAACCCTCATAATATGTCGTATGGATTGGAGAATGAATTAACTAGCAGAGACAGAGACATGCACAAAACAGCAGCATACTACAATCACGCTCCACCCTACCAAGCGTACTTTCCTGTTGAAAATGGATATCCATCTTTTGATGCACCGTATGGGCATCCGAGCCCCTCTCCACCAGGTGGTGACTTCTATCCGTGTTCTCTTCAGAGTTCTCATAATCCCTCACATGGATCTGAATATATTCCTACCCAGGCACATTATCCAGGAAATGAGCCGTACCCTAACGGCCACAGCATACAAACCATTTCCTGTCCCCCAGGAGGAACTAATACCGGCACACCTATTTCTGGAAAACAAAGTGAAATTTATCCATGGATGAAGGATTCTAGACAAAATTCAAAACAACGTCAACAACAGCAGAATCAGTCACAACAACAGAATTCACAACAACAACAGCAACAACAACCACCACCAGCTACAACACAGACTGCACAACAACCTCAGGCAACGCAACCTCAGCAGCAACAACAACAGTCACAAGGGCAGTCGCAGTCACAGTCATCACAATTATCCGGTGAGTTTCTTAACAAAACATCAAAGGCGACAGCTTAGTAATGATATGCCTACTACTGTGTTTTCTTGTCTGCAATTCCCTGCTCGATTATTGTAGTAATATTGGCGTATACTGTATTAACATCTATGTCATTAAATCAGACAACACAGACATGTGCATATAAATTGTGGTGAAGATCAAACAAAATATGATACATCATATCAACAGACTTTTCTATTAATTAATTTTGTAAGGATAGTATAATTTGTTTTTTACTTAACGGTTTAAATTGTTATTGAAATTTCATTCCGAGTTCGTAAAAGTTTGATCATACCATCGGAATCTGTATTAACTTTTTGCAACCATAAGGATAACAATTACAAACATATTTTTCCCCGAGCCATCGCGATCAATATCAATAAAACAACAAAGTTCTGTTAATTTCTGAAACATTTGAAGAAATATTCTGCTTAAACCAAACATAAATCCATCGAGTTAAAACGTCCACACTTCTCCATTAAGTCCTAGTAGTCACACTAACCAAGGCACAAGTAAGCTAGTGTAAGTGATGTTGGAAAAGGTCTGGCGAGCTTGATAGATGACCCTTCCGACGTTTTCTGGCAATAAAGCAGAACTATTAACACGGCAATGAAGTGTACAGTTTAAACCTGTCCGACATAAGATTTACAGGGTGAGGGAGAATTGATGGATTAAAACTGTGATATATAGACACTCGTGTTTGAGGATGGGAATCGCCACAGACATGGCCCATAGTGCTCCTCTCACCATAGTTGGGATCTACTAGATGTATAATATATATTGTTACTATGAGAAACTATCATGTTAAAGAAAAATACATAAATAATTATAAGCAAGCAACCAAATATGGTTTAATATCAATGAATGTACTATATTATACCTTAATTTACATGAGTTTATATACTGTTTTGTAGTATATAATAATGTCTATGATTAAAGTTACCTTGTAAGCTATAGTTTTCAATGGCAAATTTATATATTATCATAACACACACGGCTTCTCTGAATTAATTAACAGGTTGCAACTGATATTTGTATCAAATATTTAAATAATGATAATAATAATAATTCATAACGATATGAAGTATCATGTCAAACAATATAATTATCTTTTGTTTCCTTAAGTTATTTTTAAAAACAAGAAAAGTTGGCTTCTTTATGACAGATAACATTTTATGTATGTTTCAGATTATCTCAATGCTGAAACGTTTCTCCAACTCTATGCGGTATTTTGATAGTACTAAATCGGTTGATAAAGAAATTATATAATAATATATATTAAATATCAGCAAGAACAATTTTATTTCATATGTATAAATTCAGGATTTTATAGAGAAATAAATGTAAAAAAGGTGTTTATGCGTGTTTACGATTGATTAATAAGTATACATCTTCAGAGTTACTCGGCAGTGTAATATTTCTGCATAATAAATGTAAATGCTTTGTTACCCTGTTTGCTGATAGGTCGATTACCAACATATCTTCACATCATCAAAAAACCAAAATTTTTAAAATAAAAATAAATGGAAATAATTAATTCCGAAGTGATATTTCCTATTTTGTCCTGCGTAATATTGAAGTTTTACTGATAATACATCCAGTGATTAATTGACTAGGCATGAGACTCTATTGATATGCAAATAGGATAGGTTACTCTTCAGTTGATTTTTACCATGAATGTCATTAACCTTTCTTTCATCAACAAACAGCACTTTTTGCGTATTTTGAACGTGAATTATTGGGTTATTTTTATTTGTTTTTGTTCGTGTTTTGTTTTTTCTCTCTAATTTATGAACTTATTATTTTCTAAAACCTTAATCAAATCTTAACTTGAATTTTAACTACATGATTTTTTACATTGCCTCCACAAACAAAATCTCAAGAATTTTAATGGATTAACATGGTCCATTAACTATATCATTAGCTTATGGGTAGTTGATCGACACATTTAATTGGTTACTTACCGTTACGTACAGTGTTTTGAATTCTTCTAATTTTATCAATAGGTTGTACTTATGTTTGATAGTATGTCGTAGATAACACATTGGTGGTTTCATATTTAAAGGAGTTTATAATATAAATACTCTTTGAAGATGTGATAGGTGCTTTGTAGCTTAGATAAAAATCATGAATTAATAAAACAAATATCATCTTCGAGAATAACATTTTTGTAAAGTTTGTCCATAATATTTATTCAGTCATAATGGCACATTGATCTTGGATATTGTTATATTTCTACTGAGTATAATCAACAATCTAAAATCTCATTCAAGGTGTATATATATATATATATATATATATATATATATATACGATATGTTAATGTTAAAATATTTACGTACAAATTAGTTGAAAACGGATCCATCTGAAAATAAATCTGTCACATGAATTTCTGGAGATATATGCATATGTATAGTATACAAACAAATGTAAGAATACAGACAATATTCCTAGGTGTTTTTAAAGACAACTAAATTATTCAAAAAACACACATCACTTTATATCCTTGTTCGATCATACCTTTGTTAATAATTAATCAACAAATTGATATGAGTGTCGTATGAATGTACAACCAATTTTGATTAGAATTCCTGAAAAGACATATAGAAATGGTGTTGTTTTACTGCCAAAGGTTTTGATTTATCAAAACGATGAAACAAATACTGCCCACCTGGGAATGTAGAATATTTCCGTATTGTTTAGAGAGGTCTGGAAAGGTAGACTGGATCCATATATTTGAGAGAGCTCTGGAACGTTTTGTATTTTTTTGAGAGAGGTCCCGGAAGTATATTTCTGTATTTTTTTGAGAGAGAGGTCTCGGAAGTATATTTCTGTATTTTTGGAGAGAGAGGTCCCGGAAGTATATTTCTGTATTTTTTGGAGAGAGAGGTCTCGGAAGTATATTTCTGTATTTTTTGAGAGAGAGGTCTCGGAAGTATATTTCTGTATTTTTTTGAGAGAGAGGTCTCGGAAGTATATTTCTGTATTTTTGGAGAGCGGTTGCTTTCGTATTGCTTTCCTTTCTTAAGATTTATAAACTATAGTGCGATTTACAAACATTTCCATACACCATATAAATCCTACTATCGAAATGTAAGATCGTTCTGTTGATATATCAAAAGGTCATGGAAAATACATCAACCAAATTTATTTGATTCATCAAGACGGTTGGAAGTCGTCTTATATATAAACCAGTTTTTTATACAAAACATATTCTCTTTGAGAATAACTTGAAACATGATTTCATTTTAGAGCCAACCAAAAGAGCCCGGACCGCCTACACAAGCGCTCAGCTGGTGGAACTGGAAAAGGAATTTCACTTCAACAGATATCTATGTCGACCACGACGAATAGAAATGGCAGCCCTTCTCAATCTTACAGAACGACAAATCAAGATCTGGTTTCAGAACAGAAGAATGAAATTTAAAAAGGAGCAAAGACATAAGTCTTCTGATAAATGCGGGCGGTTAGACGGAGGGAATCTGTCAGGAACGGACAGTGATAGTCAGGGATCTTTGTCTGGAGGGCCGGACGGCCTAGGCAGTGACTGTGGCGGTAAACTTAGTCCGGACGGTCTAACTCACGGAAACGTGAACGGGCACGGATTACAATCCGGAATGGGGTTATCTATTCACCAGGGGATGCCTCAACAGCATTCACCTCAACTGCCAAGTCCTCAGCCTCATCCCCACTCCAATCAGACTAATATCGGAGTGACGTCATATCCGGGAGAAAATGTCATGAATCCATATCAGCAGTATCAACAGAAGCAGAGTCCCAATTCTCCTTTAATGAAACCATCAATGTCCCCCAACCCACATCACCAGAATGGACCAAATATGAACATGCAAAACATGGGTCAACCTCATCAGCAGCAACAACCTCCCCAGCATCATCAGCATCAACAACATATGACGTCACATCAACAGTACTTACACGTGAGCCAGTCCGGCCAAGGTTATCACTCCGGTCATTATATGAATAACATGTACCCGGATGTAAACCCTATGGAGGACGCTGACCCCGGGGTCAACTTAGGGGTTAACTCTATATACCCGTCCAACATGCCTTGTGCGGTCAGTAGCGTCAATAACTGTTACTCTCAGGGCTATGACTATGTGCCAAAACTGACTCATCTTTGATTGGAATACTGTAACGCTATTTTAGAAATGAAAAAGGGGGTATTGATAAGGTACAACATAGAGTCATTCTGTTACTCTGTATCCTACCAAAGCATAACTATTCACATGTAGATCAATGTATATCTGATATCCCGTTATGATGAAGAATATTTTGGAAGCTAGGAATCAGAATTAGATCATTTGCATTGATGTATGCAACTCAGCAGTGTAGTATGTATACCATTATACATGTGATAACTTATTATGATATATAACAGTTAGTCCTGTTTAGTTGTAACAAGCTACCGTTCAAAAGGGTTTCAATGGCTTATTTTGCAATGCAGTGGCCAGTTTATTTTCTTATATTTAGCTTTAAATACAAATTATACATTTGGTTTTTAGGTTAAACCAGATGTGATTTCTTAACCCGCACTGATAAGAAAACATAACTTTACAATATCAAGTACAGTATGTTTATAGAAAATTAATGTTGAAAATATAAAAACAGAATATTTAGTTTTAACTTCTACATGGTATGTTGAATAACTGTACTTAAATGACCCTGTCAATTAAAAAAACAAGTTGTATTTTGACAATCTCGTGGCAGCAACCCACAATAGCATAAATGTCTGGCAGGTTCAAGATATTCCGTCAAGAATAGACTTCGACACTAATCCGGTGTACCACAATTAAGTAATTAAATGTATCAGTTTTCGAAACCTCAATTAAGTAATTAAAAGTTACATATGTAAATAGGTAATAAAAGCATCAAATCGGAAATAGACCAATTACGACACCTACTAGCTTATCATGTGGTCTGGAGTTAAGGAGAAGATATTGAAAGGTTTATCGTTTCCTGTACGAAATGGCCCCTTCTCTCACCATCTGTATCCGTCTTGTTTTGGCGGCAGATCTGGGAATGTGAATTGCGAAAATTGAATATAAGGCAAAGATTGGCTACATGATGTAATAGTAAAATTATGAGATATCGAACAGACCGAAAGGTAGGTAACTTTCTTGTATTACTTTTATTTTTGCAAAGTAAGTTTCAATTACCGTTAAGCAGCGTTTTATTGAACAATATATTGCATATGATAGGCTTGTTCAAAATTGGATTTTTACTTCAAGATTAACTTTCTGAATAATCACATAAAGGTAGAAACACATCCACTCGAGGAATTCTCCTGTAAAAATAACCTAGCTTGGTGTAATTATTTTGCTCTAACATAAACGTCTCCTTCGGGAAAATTGAAATTAACTATCACACAAACCGTCCCCCTATAGATAATTGTCTATGGTATATTTGGCACGGCGTACGAACTCTAACGGACGTTCCCACAGATTCAATTACAACATCTTCGCCTATCCACATACCACAAAAGATCAACACAACTTGGTTTGAAGTGAAGCATTTCGACCAATGGGAATTGCCAATGACATTTTTCTCGATAGTGTTTCCTTCGGGCGATTTGTTATATTGATTGTAATTATTTGGATCCCTCGTGATAACAGAGAATGTGATTGGATCAACTTCCTTACTTAAGCCTCCTCGGAACACAAACAGGTTTATTGGGGACCTTTATCAATTTAGGTCTTATTGTCTGTAGCCTATTCAAATCACTTCTTTAATTCTTTTGCATATTATACCCTCGTAAGACCATTGTCGCATGTTATGTTTGTTCTTCTTTAATCTCTCTGTTCCCGTTTCACTTGCTTCTAAACTATCTAGACGTTTTTAATTTTCTATCACTATTAGAGGATTAAGATTTTAAATTTATGTTGTTCTTTTATAAAAGGATTGCTTGGAAAAAAAGGTATGGTGCTAAACTTCATTACAAAAATTATGACTAATGTTTAAGATATAGGTACATTTACAATCAATATGTCATCATTTATCTTTAAGAGTCAAGTTCGTTTCGCGTCTTTGAATTGACAGTCAATTTTGAATCTTATTTCATCGCCCAAAAAATAACATTGTAGCTTTCAAATTTGGAATCATTTCGATTTTAAATACCTAATTTCTACTTTTCCGATTCTGGATTTTTTATATAGCCGTTACCATTACAATTTCATAATCCATTCAAAATTTTATTACAAATGCTTTAAATACGTCCTACATCACTTGGAATGATTTATTTTTATGTATCAGGTACTATCATTTTGCGAACTAATTTTAGTTTCTCCTCCTTTATACAAAATAAACTAATTTATCTCAATAGTTTGCGTTACAGTTCAAGAGCTCATGCCGCGAATCACGATGGACATATGTGTTGACTTCAAATATTTAACTATGTACATGAAAAACACGAATTACTTTACTGTTAAATATTTGTTATCCGTGATCGCAATTACTTTTTTGATAATAAGCATGTAAGTTTATTAAATACCAGAATCGCTTTAATTATTACGATAAAGTGTATATCTCCATTTCAAATATATTTGATACATTGAAAGTCAGTTTAGCCTTGAAGTCATTGAGATCGTATCTCATAAATTAGTTCCATTGGACCGTGTCCGATGATTTATATATTTACCAATGGCGCTCGAGGCATGCTTGTGTCAAATGAAAACTCAATTTGCTACTAATCAATGTGGTGTTCATTTATTGATAAAATTTTAAATCACGAATTATACAACTCCGACGAGTTTTATCTTTGAAATCTGACCTTACAACCACTTGGTGCGTTGAGGAACGGTCAGTAAATGGAGCGCATTCAAGTCCACGTGCTGGACCCAAAGTCGCGCTTATTATGATATTCACTCGTGGTCATTAACATCAGCATGACCGCCGTCTGTCCAGACCTCAATATGTTCCAATTGATCTCTAATCTCGACATCTGTCATTGGCTGTTAATATTTATGGCCGTATCGTGTGCTTTTCCCTGGGTAGTGAATCTCCGGGGTGCCCGTGCATGTTAATAATACTTGTAGAGGGTGTTGTAAACACTACTTACTTTCAAATGAATGAGCAGAAAAAAGTGTGTTAAAGGCAAATTTCGGTCAACTGTTTTTTTTAACACGACAGCAAATATATATATCAAAATAGAACATTAGACATTAAGTTCATGCTTGCTATCAGTTAAGAATTTTCATTAGTCTCTGTCGCCATCTCATCTTATGAATATATCATATTTCTTTGATATCAATGCAATACTCTTCGAGAAAAATATTAATTATTAAAGTCACAATAATTTTCATCTTGGTAATCAAACAAATACATTAACTTTACCGTATTATGTACAAAATAGCTTTATGAATATTAAATTATATCATACATAATATCAAACATTTACATCTGATATGGAAACACATAAATACGATATCAAAATTCAGAGAAATGTTATTTACTTTTTGATTCCGATAATTCCAGGTGTTAGTTCGGTGTATGCTTTGTAATATAGAAATATGCTTAATGATCGAACCAGAAAAATAAGTTATCAAAATTATATATGTAAATATTCATAATTAGATAATGAATTTAAATTGCAGAAGTGAATATTTATATAGTATATTAACACAATAATGTTGAAAATTCTAGAACAAAATATACTATATTATTCAAATATAGTTTTACATTATACATATAAAGCCTAGCATTATTCTGCTAAGAAATTGCTTACTATAACATTAACCATTTTTTACAACAGGTTACCTTTTATATTTCTAAACGTGTAATTTGAAGCAAGTATTGGTGTAGATGATATTACCTACCGAAAGTAGCCGATGATTCCGGGATATCTATTCATCGCTTAACAGAAAATTGATGACTTGAGAGGGTAAATAAAACATTTTTATCGTACAAATAATTCTATTAGTTATTATCACATAAATAGATGTAATTTGTTAATTAGTCTAATATACCCTGTTTACGAGAAATATGTATGTTGTTTTATTTTTGTTTTTAATATGCAGAACGCATTTGTATGTCTGTGTTTTTATTTGTCTGAGATCGATCGCATATCTGATAATGTATGTTACATGGAAACAGACAAAAGAACTATTAAGTTTAACTAAGAATAGTTTGTCTGTTACAGCATTTGATTAGCCAAAATCAGTAAACAATATGTACATATTAAATGGTTTGTTGTACCGATTGAAAGCATTAATAAACTTTTCACCAAAAATAAACATAAATTGCTAATGATAATGATATTTGTATGTGTTAAAGCAAAATGTCGATTTGTATTTAAGCCATATTAGAATTTTTAAAAAAAATATAAATACTTATAGTTTCATTTTAACTTTCGATCACAATAAGAATTACGTAATTCTTTGTATTCCATTTCTTGCGAAAATATGTTTTACAATAAACTGGAAAAGAGCCCAGTTGATACGGAAACCAATGCTAGTATTTGTAAATAAAACAAGATTTACGTTTGTTTCTATGTTGTATAAGTTAAATCCATCCAATATTTAATAATGATAATAACAAATATACTATAATTCACAGAAAATGTACGAAAATCTAATCAATTTGGATCGTACTTCTGGTGTATGGTGACAAGTAAATAGCGAAATTTAGAAACAAGAATGGATAGGGGTGGCAATAGTAAGACTAGCTAGACGCATGTTTCTAGTTATCAATACACTTGTATGTTCTAGTATTTAAGAAATGTTGTGAACTATTTTAGTGTTAAATGCTCAATGTTGAAATGATGTACAATGATTTTTAAATGAAAAAATAAATACATTTTCAAAGTATTATGTTATTGAGTTTGTTCATGATAAAGTGAGGTTTCGGCATACTGCGAACCATTTGATATCACAAGAATTATGTAATACAAAGTTGTTGCAGAGGATGCTTCGTACATTTGCCTGTGAACGTCTCATCAATCGTTTTTGTTTGTTTAAACTAGCATTAAGAAACTATGTCAGTGCAAACCAAAGATGATTTTCGATATATTTGTAACAAATGAGTGAAGGAAAAAAAAACAGCAATAAAGTTCATCTCAAAATTTATGAATGTTGATCGCAATAAATTCACTAACAGTATACTTTATAAGTTTGAAGGATAAACTGTC